AAATAATAAAAAAAAACGAGAGAACACACGCAGACATACCTCTAGAGCATTACCAATGTAATTTAGTGATGATGTAAATGCATTTAGTCCCTTCTGTAACGCAGGGCCGTCTGTCATTGGGCTCCTTTCTGGATAGTCATATGTGTTATGGTACTGCAAAATGAAAGGAAATCATACTTTAAGGTAAATTCTCCAGTAGAGGAAATTTTATAAACCAGAGTATTTATAGAAAGAAATAATTACTGAAACTCCTTCATATCAAAGTAGGATACAATTCATGATTTTCAATAGGGTCAAACTACTGAGGGATAAAAATAAAATAAAATGACAAAAATCCATACCTGACTCTTTTTGCTTTTATTAGATGTCTGAGGTAATGTCCCTCCAGGTGTTTCACGTTGTTCGGAAATATTATCATCATCATCAAGAAGGGAATTATCCTTCCTGGAAAACCCCCAGAACCCTTGTTTCGACTCATCCACGCCCTTCTTTGATGTATGTTCATATGTGGGGGAATCCTACGTTCATAAAGATTAAAAAAAAACATTAACTTCAGAAACTTCCAATATTCCATGTACTATTCGCATGGAACCAGAATTCAATACAAAATTATTTAGTTAAATACAATTCTTTCTACTATACGCATGAAACGGCTTACAAAAAAATCAAAAGGAGCCATTCAGAAAATTGAATTATAATTCAGTTGATATTTCAGAATTCAGATGCATCCTCTTATCCAAAAAGTACACACAGTTAACAGCCAAAAAAAATCGGAATAACCCACTCTGCATTAGAGACGGACTATGAGCCCTATGGTTCAAGTAATAGACGGACAGATGCAGCTTCTTCACAATTCTTCTTGCCGAAATCAAATATAGAAACCCATTATTTCAATGCCAGAAGGATCAACTTTGAACAATGTAAATTACTTACTTCAACCTAAATGTTTCAGTATTATCAGTTAACTGACGACAAGGACTGTACATTTTTAAAGCATATAGAATACTTTTAAACTCTGCTAGGATATCCACCAACAAAGACCTAATAAGTACACCTGAGAGCATCACTCAACTATGTGAATATGGAATTTTAGATTAAATCACAGTAAAAAACCACCAATTCTCATGCGAACCTGCGCCATGAACCGAAAGATGACTGATCAAACCTTTTAATACCATGAACCAGGCACGACTAGAATAACTTGAAATAAAACTCATGTAATAGAAATTCCATATTCAAATTAAAGTTAGAAAACAATAGGGTAAAACAAAAAAACTTAGATGACAAGCCTGAAGAACCAGTCATGACTAAAATAACTTGAAATAAAACTCATGTAATAGAAGTTCCGCATCCGAATTGGAGTTACAAAATAACAGGCATAAACAAAAAACGTTAACAACAAATCTGAAAATACTTTGGGTCCTCCCACTGAGTCCAAGATACCCTTGGCAGACAAATTCACTCTTCTACCAAACCTTACACAGTAAACCACAAACACAGGAAAAATAATCCAAATATCTGTCAAAATCACATCCTACATCTTACACCACCTAATCACGTGTTCACATCATAAAGTATAAAATCCAAATACTGAAGACATCAGTAATTCAGCCAGTCATCATGCAATTCCGCCTCTAAGTTGTCCAGAAATGTATACCTAAACAAAACTTCAAGCAATCAGTAATACACAACTACTTAAGAGAAAACAAAATCTTATACTGAAAAGGTTGCCGATTAATCTCACAATTAAGTATTAACTGCAGCTTCATAGAACACTATCATATATCATAATTCATAAAGCAGAGAAAGATACTCATTCTGTAGCATACCAAAAAATCAGCATCGAAAATAAGGGGGAAAAAGCGCAAAATTAAAGTAAACCTTGGCAGACGAAGGAGTAGAGGCGCGTGGGGTAGAGAGGGCCGACTGTTCGTAGACGGAGGAAAGGGAATAGTCTCTGCGCGCCGATGAAGCTCCGATGGCTTTGGCGGCCAGGGAGGAGGCGGAAGATGAAGAGGCTGAGTCGCCGGCGGATGCAACTTGCTGTCTCCGCCGGTAAGCCATATTATACCCGCTGGATTTAGGATCGTGGCCTTGTTTTCATCCTCTGATTATAGATATATAAGCTACGGATTGTACTTTTCACCGATTGATTTCACACTCTCGGCCGGAGATTGTAGAGTATTGATGATCTGCTCGACGGTGGTTTTGCGCCGGCAATGGAAGTGTGTCAAAACTGCGGAGGGAAAAGCCGGTAATAATTACAGTACGTTTTGTGGAAAAATGTTACAGTGCTAACTCCAGTAAAATTTACTTAACTGCAGGTAAAAAGGTGAACCTCTGAGTTCCCGCTTGGCGAATGGATGAAAAAGAAAATCAGATTTATCTTATTAAACTCAAAAATGAAACCAAAAATATTCGTAATTATTATTTATTTTGATTTGTATTTTTGTACACTCTCACAAACATAATTATAAAATGTAACTATCATTTTATATTTTTAAATAAAAAAACACTATTCTTCCCCTCAACTATATATAATTTAATGGGTCGAATTTTAATTACATAATTAAAATTTCAAATTCAGACTCAGGATAAGGATAATGAACCATCCGTATAATCTATTATTATTTTTTCCTCTAAAAGAGATTACAAAAATATATTTACTTTATTATTACTTTTCTTTTAATTAAAATCTTAAACACCTCACTAATCAATGAATATTTAATCCATATATATAATTGCTAATAATAAATTTAATAAAACTATTTGAATTTTTCATATTTTTCCGTTATAATTCAATAATTTTTCTTTTAAACGGTAACTGAAACTTAATCAATGACTATTTTTAGTAATGGTTAATTAAATTGTAATCATGTTTTAATTATTTTATTATATAATATTAATTACTAAAACTAACCAATTATAATTCACACTAAATGATATATGGAAGTTCAATAAGTATAAAAAATTATATTGCAAAATTTTTTCTTAAACTATTTATTGCCTTAAGCATTTTTTTTTTAATAACCTAATTGGCTTTAGTGGTATAACCAAGCCTCTTAAAAAATTCACAAATAATAATAAATTCTAAGGTAAGTAATAGGTCACAAATTTATACAAACTACATTATCCATTTTGTTTTATACAATCAATATAGTGATGAAATTAAATACTTTTATAATGTTCATTTTTACTAATGATAAAAATTTTAAAATGTGATACTATTATCTAATTTATCATTTTAATATTATATACATACATATAACTTATAATAATTTAAAAATCTGTACATATGCACAAGATCGAATACAAATTTTATAGCAATACTGTAGAAAGCATTAATTTTTATGTGAGGGGCTACTCGAATCAGACTTCTGGTATTTTTTTAACACAAATGCATACTTAGATTACAAAACATCATATTTTTATTTATATTATTTTTTAAATTACAATATTGAGGAGTATTTTTTTAACACAAATGCATACTTAAATTATAAATTTTCATACTTTTATTTTTATTATTTTTTAAAGTATAATATTTCAATTTAAAAATATGAATATGAGTATCTAATGTGCATACACCAGAGCTCAATAGACAATGGGGCGTATTACTGAGAACCTCAAAATACCGAGCAAACAATTTGATATGTTGGTACACTTTATTTAGAATAAGTTTTACTGTGAGAACCATAAAAACTATATATGTATATAATGCTACTTTTAATATAATATGATACTATTATTTACACAAATATTAAAATTATTATTTGTTTTTTTTTTTAAATAA